AGGGGGGGGGGGGGGGGGGGGGCTATAGACTGCCAGTCCTTTCTCTCTCCACAATCCCTGTTGGGTGATTTTAAATGATCTCATTGACTGTTGGAGATTTCTTGTTTTTAGCCCTGTGTACCATTTTTAAGTTGCTCTATAACTGTTGACCCTGTTTCTTGTATGGATCATACAAATGAGATCGAACTAAAATCTAGTTATTATTCTATTTATTAATATTGAATAGTTTCATTTGGTGACTGATGTTTTTTGCAGTCCAAGAACCATGCCATCAGTATAAGCAGTTTTGATTTAGATTCTGATGGAGTACCTGAGCTCATAACAGGATGGTCCAATGGAAAGGTATGGTGGTAAATGATGATGATGATGATGATAATGATTGTGATGATGATAATGATGTTGATGATGATGGTGATGATGATTGTGATGATGTTGATGGTAATGATGATTGTGATGATGATGGTGATATTAATTTTGAAGGTGATGGTGATGATGATGATGACAAAAATGAATGACGTATAAAATAATGCACTTCATCCATGTCCAAAAAGCTGAGGATATGATGAGAACATGCCATAAAGTCATGCTAGTAACCTGCATCTGAGTAATCTGACCTTGAATAAACTACAATGTTTTCCCCCCATAAAACAGGTTGATGCTAGAAGTGATAGAACAGGAGAAGTTATCTTCAAGGATAACTTTATCTGACCTTGAATAAACTACAATGTTTTCCCCATTAAACAGGTTGATGCTAGAAGTGATAGAACAGGAGAAGTTATCTTCAAGGACAACTTTTCAGCAGCCATCGCTGGGATTGTAGAGGGAGACTATCGAATGGATGGCAAGGTAGAACTGATATGCTGCTCTGTCGAAGGAGAAGGTAATTTACTGTGTGCACATATATTAAAACTTCGAATTAAATTTTTGAGTTTATTGTTCTGCCCTTTGAGAACTTCACCCTAAGCAATTCTAACTTGTACTGTACTGTAGGTAAAGTGGTGGAGATCGGCTGTCAGTGGTTTTTAGGCAGATATTGGTAGGGTAATGCCAGGCTTTCGGCAGGATATTGATAGGTTAACAGCTGCTGTTGTTGGTCAACATCCTTAATCAACATGGATTTGGGGGTTGTATTCTTTCCTACATGTACTACTGAAATGTGCTCATTGGTATCTGAGTGCTTTGAATGATAATTAAAAGAATGGTTAATGTAGTGAAATGAGTGAAATTTCACAATGGCATCGATTTATATTTTATTCATTTGTTACAAGTATATATATTAAGTTAAGATAACAGAACTTTTATATTTTCTTTGGGCCTCCAAGTGTTTTGAGTAGCAATAAATACTACTTTAAATTATGATCTTATATTCAATTGTAGTTCGAGGGTATCTTCCTGCAACCCAAGAAATGAAGGGCAATCTAATGGACTGTAACATAGAACAAGATGCCTTGAGAGATCTTGCACTGAGGAAACAAAATCTGCTGCTGGAATTGAAGAACTATGAAGAAAATTCAAAGGTAACAAAAGAATTGCATTTATTTTGCTTTCCAGTGTTGGTGTGAACATTCCCTTTTAGAGCTCTTTGCTTTTTTGTTATTAAATAAACAAATTAATGAACAAGCAAACGGGCAAACGGGCAAACAATCTAATGAATGAACGAACAAACAAATAAATAAATATTAGGATTTACTTGAATGTTGCAGTGGCATTTCCACAGCAAGGCTCTCTTCATTTGCTGAAATCAATCTGGATTTAGAAATTTTGATTTTTGTGGAGGAAGGATAACAGCACAGAACGTGAAGGAAAACCTTTGAAGCACAGAGAGAAGCAACAAACAACAAGCTACTCACCTGTGACTCCAATATTGGGAATCAAACCCTGGTTGCAGTGGTGAAGCAGGACTAGTGGTGAGAGCATTAGTGCAGTTCTGCTAGCACTATTACTGCAATACTACCAACAACCTGTATTGATAAACTGAGTATTTTTAATTATTATATTTATGGAACATATTTAAGGGAATCTTAAAAAAATACATATAATATATTTTTCCTGTTTATTCAGGTTGGTAAAGGAGTATCAGACGTTGACCAATCACAGATGGGTATTATCCCAGCAAACACACAACTCCAGACGTCCCTTCTAGTGAATCCAGGCAGTGAGCAAGTCCAACCACATGTAGAGCTGTCAATCTCAACCACCAATGACACCATCATCCGATCAGTGATGATATTTGCTGAAGGAGTGTTTGAAGGTGAAAGCCATGTTGTTCATCCATTACCTCAGAATACCAAGTCCACAATGAGCGTCCCTATCTACCCACCTAAAGATGTATCAGTTGACCTACACATCAAGGCATTTGTTGGCAACAAAACAAGGTGCGGTAGGCTTGAATAATGCTAATACAGTGCAACAATACCATCCTCTCACTGGATATGTGAGTTCCATGGGTAGGTTGATGGTTCATCTTCTACGGTCACCACATGTTCATTTGATGTGTTGCATTTTCCCTTGTCACAAGGGTTTTTCTCTGGGTACAGCTGTACTCTGGTTTTCCTCCACCATGAAAATCATCATGATGTTAGTTTAGTACTCTTTCCAGACTCTCTTCACCTGTGTCGAGATAAGGGCTTCTTAAATATTGATTTGCACCCATAACACATTTGAGCTGTTAATTTTTGGGCTTCAAGAAAATCAAAAACAATTCTAGTGCAACCCCTGACAGTAAAGTGATGCTGCCATAAATGTACAATGAAGAGGTATTTTCATCAGTTGGTTCTTTATTTTGCAGCTCTCAGTTTCATGTCTTTGAGCTAACTCGACAACTTCCAAGGTAAGTTTCAGTCACATGGCGTTAATATGTAAGATATTTTCATAGTTTGCTTGACGTCATTAACAATGTAATCATTGATGGTCGTCTCACAATTGCAATGGAAATCCAAAGATTTTTGTATTGCAAAAGATTTCTTGGCTTTTTCAAGATGTTTAATATTTTATTTTAAAGTTTAATGACTCAATGCTTCTTGAGTGGGAAATAAATAAGAATAATTAAATGATTGCTTGTTTAAAATGGGACACTAACATTCACATCCAATCTGCATGCAGTTCAAAATGGTTCTCCTTCAGATTTCCTATACACAGGGCTAGAAAATATGGCCAAACTAGTTTTAGCTTGATCATACCTATTTCTGGCTCAACATTACTATTCTGGTTGGACATTGTCCAATGACCATCTGTTATTTTATGTAAACAGATCAACAGCTCAGCAAGTGTGTTAATACTACATATATTATTTGTTAGGTTTACTTTATACATCCCATGTCCAGAAGGTTATGCTGAGCCTCAGTCTACTGTCTCCTTTCATATTAATGAGAGAGTCAACAGGGTAAGTCAAACTTTACTATTATAGATAGTCTGACTACAGTAATAGCACAATGTGCTAGAATGGCTTCCTAGCAAGATACTACTTAGCAAGATACACCTGCTCTCAAGCAAATCTTTAAATAAAGGAATGGATGGGTGAATTGATGGATGTATGGAGGGATGGAGGGATGGAGGGAGGGAGGGAGGGAGGGAGGGATGGATGGATGGATGGATGGATTGGTGGATGGATGAATGAGTGAATGAATGAATGAATGAATGACAAATTTATTACACCCTATTGAACTAGACACTGGACTGTTGTATAAAAAAATGGAGGTGCACATTTTAAGTATTAAAAATATCATTTTTAGCTTAAACCAACCAAAATGTTTGAAAGAAAAGCCCTTTACAATTTTTTCCCCAGACTATAATGTGGCTGAATCAGAATTTCCTTCTGACTGAAGAAATCCAGCCAAAGAATGGTTCTCTTGACGTGATGTTCCTGTCCTTGAGGACTGGCAACCCTTTGGTAATACGCATGGATCAAAATGGAGATGTGAGTAAAGCAGTTCCACAAGAACACTGTTCTCAGTTCAAAGCCCTGTCATTCCCTTCCCCCTTCCAAAATTTTGGTTTGAAATGGGAAAAATTATGCCCACATGGATCACATTCTGATCATGAAAGCCTGTATCACATGGAACAATTACTTGTCTCACGAAACAGTATAGTCACAGGTTACAAGAGACCATGTAACACACACAATTTCCATTGCAATCAAGGGCAGATCCAGCCAAAATTTTAGGGGGGGGGGGCTAATTGAGTTTAGGGGGGGTCTAATTGAGTTTCTTCAGTCAACACAATGGAAAACAATAAACAAAGCATCTAATCCTCCAGTTTTGTTTTGTTTTGTTTTCTGCTGAAGGGGAGCTTCAGCCCCCTTCCCCTTCCCCTGGATCCGCCCTTAGCAATATGTCTTGTAGAAAAAAATGCTACAAGTTGCCTGCAATTTGCCCACAAATGGCCTTTTGACCTCCTTCATAATGCAGTCAGATGTGAACAATTTATGGTTTAGTTGAGGAGAGACAGACTAGTGACTGTTACCATGTATTTTCCAGATGGTAATTAAGACAGATGATATGGACCTTGCTGGAGACATTATACAAGCAATGGCTGATTTCTTAGGGATTGAGGTAACAAACAACATACTAATTGACTTGCAAAAACTTAATGCATAATTGACCTGCATACACCAAATTCAAAAATCGTTTTGGGTTCAAGAAGTTAAATCGGCAATAAGCTAAGACCGAGGGGTATTCTGGGTAGTCAACATCTTTGGCATTATAAAATGGAGATTGAAGAAATTTTTTTAGAGTTTAGAGAGTGTTTTCATACAGACACATGCATGAAGAGTAACAAAATGCTTCGTTTGTTAATTTCAATTTATATTTGACAGCTGTAAACTTCAATATGCATTAGCTTCATTAACTCTTAACCCAAAACACATGTCGGTGTTAGCTTCTACAATTTAACCTTTTTGAGCTCAACAACGAATTTAGAATATAGTGTATGCATTAAAATGGCAAAGTAAGTATATGTAGGGTCTGTGTTGTAGGGTCTGTGTTGTAGGGTCTCTGTCGTAGGGTCTCTGTTGTAGGGTCTGTGTTGTAGGGTCTCTGTTGTAGGGTCTGTGTTGTAGGGTCTGTGTTGTAGGGTCTCTGTTGTAGGGTCTGTGTTGTAGGGTCTGTGTTGTAGGGTCTCTGTTGTAGGGTCTCTGTTGTAGGGTCTGTGTTGTAGGGTCTCTGTTGTAGGGTCT